GCATGGTTAGGACTGAAGGTCACAGTGGCCTTGGCCTTTAGCTCTAAGCCCCCAGTGGGATCTTTATTTGGAGTAGCTATGGCTGAAGATTCCAGTAATGGGTCTTAAAGTATCAATTAAGTACAGAGTGAATGCCTAGCCTAGAGGCAAACAGGTGTCCAGTCACAGATGGACAATCCCAGCTCATCTGTTTATGCCTTTAAGGGCTCTCTTCATGCACCTAAATAAGGCCTCATTCAACTTTCTTGACCTGATTCTTATTCTGACTTCCTGAAGAAACCCAATGGAAGTGTATTTTGGTTTCAGGCTCTCCAAGAACCCTAAAGAAGGGAAGCCAGGAGTCCCTCAACCTCCTCTCTCTTTAAGCCCATGTCCCTACCCCCAGTCCTTTACCCATCTCTTCAACAACATTCTAGCTTTACTGAACCTTCTGCATTCTACAGTGACTTTGGCAAGGCTAAATTTAGAGTTTTCACTTCCTGAAACAGGTCAGGCACTTCTGGGCTCAGAATCCATAGGCCAGGGTTTAGGCCCATGCTTAGTGCAAAAACTGAATCCAGCTCCCACATATCAAATGCTAAAATCCTAGAATTAGAAGGGACTCTAGAGGTCATCTAGTTTAACCCATGTAGTCTGACTCATGTGGGAATTTCTCTATAGCATGCTTGAAAGGAGATGATCAGGGACTGACCCTTCATGGGGAAGAAGAGGAGACAGAGAAGAAAATGAAACAGGAGCAATTAGTATGGAGAGAACTAGGATAGTACAGTATTCTATTGAGGTTAGACAGCAGATGTCTTAAAAGGAGTGGAAAGGAGGGAAGGTTTCCCAAGGTATCAAATACAGCAGAGATGTAGCAGAGACACTTCCAAGAACTGGCAACTCACAACCTCATGAGGTAGCCATTACATTTCTGGACAGTTCTAGTTGCTAGAAAGTTCTTTTTAGGAATAGGGCCTGGACCTATGATTTCACTGATATAGAGAACTCTCTCTACCAATACAGGATAGAACCTTCTCTGCAATTCATAGTTTCTTTAGAGAGTTGCCTAGAACACTGAGAGAAGTTATATGACTTGCTCAGGCTTGTAGAGCCAAGACATCAAGTCTTGGGACTTGAACTCAGGTTTTTCTAACTGAAGATGGCTCTCTCTATTCACTGTGCCTTACGCCTCTCAAGGTGGGATCCTAGGACCTGGTTTCTTCTTTATATTGAGCTGAAATCTGCTTCCCTGTAATAATCAAAATAGGCCCTTGATTAGTGGTAGATGGGGCGTTCATGGAGGACTAACACCTCTGGTGTAAGGACTTGCTGAGCCCTTTTCAAGGCTGCTCATCCATCTTTGGTGTCCACCAGGTACCCATCTCTCAACTGTGGCTCCAAGAAGCTGTAGCATGTGCAGCAGCCACATCCGGTAAACCATCTTGGCAGACTGGCTAAACCAAGTTGAGGGGAGTCAACAGGCCTCAAACCATTGGTGAGTTATGGTGATGTCTACCCCAAGCATGTGAAGACCTCCCCTGGCAGAACAAGCAGATGAGAACAATTTTATTCCAATAGTCATGAAGGTGGCTGAAGCAGGCACTGTGGAGAGCTCTGGGCCATCACCAGTCATCTTGATTTTTGTATTGCCATTGGACTTCGATGACTCTGGGAGAGAGAGGGAGGCTGATGACTTTGTGCAGCTCTGCCTCACTTAAATCCATTTCACCCGGGAGTCAAGACATCACCCATGATGTCACTGGTCCTCTTTGAAAAGGAAGGACAAAAATGACAACAACTTTATGATTACAATGTGTTTTGTAATTCATTAACCTCTTCACTCCTTACATCTGTACCTTTAGCAGGGCAAGTATTACTATTCCCATTTTACATAAGAAACTGAGAATCAGAGGTAAAGTAGCTTACTTGAGGTCACATATAGCTAACAGGTCTCAGAGTCAGGACTTGAATGGTAGTTTTATCACTCCAACTTGAATGACCTCTGTGCTAGGCCAACTTCCTGAAATTGAAACTGTTAAGTCTACTCTGTGTGTGTGTGTGTGTGTGTGTATGTGTGTGTGTAGATGCCTGTATCAGGATGTGAGGTTAGACAAGAAGCATTCTGAGGGCCCTCTTCATCTTTCAGATATGGGGAATGACCATACCCCAGCCCACTCTCACCCCCACCTACACAACTGTTCCTTGGGCAGATTCTAAACACCTCCCCCCACATACACACATACAATGACATGCACAGAGATTTTGTCTGAAGATAAGGCAGGAAGGGTCTAGCCCTGTCCTGGGTCTATCATCTTTCAGAGAATAAACACTCTGGCAGTGCTTCTCCTCCCGTCATTTGCTTTCTCTGAAATTCAATCCCCCTGGTGAACAATGAGCAAGCTTCTCAGCATCAGGCATTTCTGGAAGCAGGAAAAAGCTATGAGTACTGCCTGTGCTTTTTGCAGTCGATGAAAACAGACCTGGAACCAGATGTGCCTTTGGGGGATTAATGATCCATTTTCTTTCTACCACACATTTTTGCTTGAGTTAATTCATCTGTCAGCCTCAAGCAGAGAACAATATTAAGGTCAATGTTGAGAACAGTGTTAAAGAGAGTGTCTTGGGTACTGGAAAGAGCACAGTTCTAGGAGTCAAAACCTAGGTTTGAATTCTTACCCCTCGCCTGCCTTCTTCCTCCCCATTTAACAGTTGTATGGCTCTGTGCCAGTTGCAGGCTCTCTGGGCCTGCTTTCTCATCTGCAATACGAGGGTAATAATATTGACACTCCCTTACTCAAATAGTTGCTGTGAGAAAAGTTCTGTGCCAAAAATAGTATTACCAGAAGCTGAGTTAATTTTATTAGAGATAAGGTCTGCACACTGCTCGCTTCCTCCCTGGGTTTCTGTGCTATTGAAAGAGCTCAAGTTCAGGATTAAATAAGAAGGCAGTATGGTGTAATGGGAAGAGAACTGGATTTGGAGTCAGAGGACCTGGATTTGAATCATTACTCTGCTACTTGTCGCCTTTGTGACCTTGTACAAGTCCTTCATTCTTTGGAGGGTTTTGGTACCTTCCATTATCTGTTAAATGAATGGGTTATACTAGATCCTAGGATCACAGAGGTGGAAGGAATTATTGAAGAAATCTAGAGAGGCTGCTAGGTGGCATGGTGTTTAGAACCAGGACCTGGAATGT